CATGGGGGTGAGTAGAAAATGAAGGCTAATCATGTTTTGGGTGTACTATTCCTTTAAGCCTTTTTAAGGACCCGCGGGAACCCTGTTAGATGTTTTTGTAGTGGTGAGAATATTTCTCTGCTGCTGATTAGATGGAGGACGAATAAAAAGGAAGGACAAGGACCGTACGACTTTATATGGAGGCCGCAGTGCTGGGTGATACGGTCCTGGTCTACTATCAAATAAAGGCACCAAGAGCCAAACAAACAAAAATAAGTGACGAGTGATGACAACGGAAGTTTGAGAAACAGTATGGACATTTTTTATCCTCCATCTTTTCTCCTTTATTAATCCAACATGGCGCGTTCTAATATCTGCATCAGAAATGTGGTGAGACTCTACATGCAGAACTGATGCTTACTCTTTTACCGCTCAGCCTCTTCCCCTCATAGATGGTGCCTTGAGGCGTCTCCACTGAAACAGGCTGGACAAAAAAAAAAAACACAAAAAAGGAAACAAAAGTGAATAAAATCAGGTTCAAGTTGAAGCCAAATGTCACTTTTTTTAGTTAAGATTAGGAGAGCTGCCTCTGTGACCACAGGAGCCTTGAGAAGGAAGGTCAGTTAATGTTGATGCTGAAAAGTCTCACCTTGAGGGGCAGGAAGGAGAGGGCGTGCTCTATCAGCAGCCTCATTAATCTCTTGGAGTAGAAGATAAACTCGTCTCTGTTGGTCTCCTTGTTCCTACATGATCAGAAAAATGGCATAACTGTGACCTACGCTTAAAATCAGCTCCTGTAACCCTCTGCATCATTCTCGTTAGGACCAGTTTTATGTAGAATGTGCGTCGGCGGGTTCTGACCTGATGATGGTGTGCATGCCGCGGACCTGAGGCGTGCTCTCCAGGACGCTGAGGGTTTTGGGTAACGGCTGACCCTGATGAGCCGAGGCTAGAGCCGATCTGAGAGAAACAAAAGGGGGAAAAAATGACGATTATTCAGTTTTATCAACTAAAACTTTTATCTACATCCCAGACAGACAAATGGAAGATGAGACAGAAAGATTGGAGATACAATCTGCCTTCTCAGTTTTGCCAAACCTTTCCAGACACTGAAAATAATTAAACCAAATATGATACTTTTCTTGAAGGAAATGTCAAAAGTTACTTTAAAAAGTGTTTTTAGTTAGACTTTTTTATTTATTTTTAAAATAACATGGTGTCAAATTTCATTGACGTAAACTGCGGGGATAAAAGATGGTCGTAGATATGGATCATAAAGCTGAAAATAATTAGAAATTTATAAAAAAGTAAGAAGAGCAAATCCATAATATCAAAAATTTAGGGTAACATTGACTATTTTACTCTCCTAACAAACAAAACTATTAAACAGCATCATTAAAATACTTTGGGATTCATTAAGAACTGCTGTTTTATCAAGTACAACCAGAAGCAACACAATAAGATCTCTAAGTTTGGGAAGTTTTACAACTTTAAGACCTGAACGGGCTAATAAACAATCATTTTATATGAAAAGATTGTAAAAGTCTGCTGGACATTTGTTAAAAGCTGCATAAGAATGTTGCCATAAGAATGTTGCCACATGGAAGAGCTTATTTTCTCACAAGTCTGCAGCTTCTTCTACATATGCTGCAGATTTTCCTGCAACTTTTACATTCTAAGTTAATCTAGTGAAGTTCAAGAGTTTTTGAAATCCTGCTATGATCATCTGATAAGCATATCTCTTCCTGGTTTCACATTCCTCCATATCGAGAGAAGGTTTTGTCTGCTAGATTTAAGTTAAAACATGAGATAAACAAGAAAAGAAAAGGTTAAAAACAGGTTAGATCATTTGTTCCCATATATTTCAGCCTTTTTAGACACATGCATAAAATCTGCACCTTTTTATTTCATGGTACATTCATTCTTTATACAATATATTGTAACCCCAATTTAAATTACATATTTATTTATAAAAACAATTTAATTGGGGATTTATTTTAAATAGCAGTAAATTTACCTTTTAAATAACGTTTAATTCAAAAGTTTAAATGTAGTTTTTTAAATAATATAATGGGCTATTTTATTATTTAATTGTGCACTAAGGTTGGGCGATTGGATTAATCCATCGACGACAAACTCGGATCTTCAACAATGTGTTTTTTTTTTTTAAGACCAATTTTCTCTTTTGACGCAGCCCATGACAAAAAAAAACAAAACAAAAAAACCCCCTAAATGTGGTTTTTAATGGTAAACACAAGCTCCTTCCAGCTGCAGCTTTCTTTCCACAGTGCGGCTGTGCAGCAGCATATTATCAACTTAAATTTAAGATGGAAAGAAGGGACTAGTCCAAACCAGAGACTAGATGTTTCAAATTAAATATTGGCTCTCCATCTACCTCAGTGATCACATGATCATCTCGACCCCTACTTTAGGAAAACCTGGCAAGGATCTTACTAAACTGTTGCAGTAGCATATGAAAAAGCATGTTGGTTGGATTTGTGATGCTGCGGGCCCGTTTCTCCACAATCACCTTAACTTCTGATAACTTTCATTTTTAATTTCCTGCATTCAATCAGCTGCTTGTAATAGACAGAGCAGTGGTTTTAAGACAAAACCTATTCAACTGTGCTCTAATTAACATGCAAAACCAAATTTACAATTTTGCAAATTGTCAAACGCATGCTGGGTGTGGCAAAGCATCCAACAAAGCTCCGCTTCGGTTCCTGCTGCACACACAAGTGCTACCTTTCTGCAAGAAATAAGTCATGCATTTGTTTTAAAGCCCTAAAATGCAAACTATGCAGAAAAGGTTTGCCAGCCATGACTGGATATCACATCATGGAACCTAAGCAAAATATTCAAAGCAAGCATGTCACCTGGATTTACAGATAAAACATGCAGCAGATGTCTTAGCAGGTTAGTAAGCCAGAAGTGCATGAAAACACCAAGACTGTGCTTTTTTTTTTTTTCTTTAATCTAACAGAAGATGCAGAATTCGGGCCTCACATATCCCAGCGAAGCTTCCTCTGCAGGACACCCAGAGAAACAGAGAGAACAGGGGAGAGAAAGAACATTTTGAGTAGTGAAACAGATCTGACAGATCACCGCTCTGCAACACTGATCAAATACTTTCTGGCTCTGCGCTGATTTGATGCAACAGCTGATCAATTCAACTTAGCAGCTTTCACTTAGGGTTCTTAGTGCAATTCTGCATTACATACCTGAGGAGCAGCCAGAGCTCCTGCACATTTGAACAATTTAGTCTGAGATTTATGTCACCATTAATTAACAGGAATCAGATTAATCTTAGAGATAACTTTGAGTTACTTCTCCAATGTTTTGAGTATTTTATGTTTGCCAACCAACTGTTGAAGCAGGCGGCAGCTTTTCACCTGCTTTTACTTTCAATTGTTCAGGAATTTTATCAAGAACATCCAACCTTACATGTCATGAATAGGCAGCGTCAGTGTGGGGCTGATTGTAGGAAGTGGATGTATGCAAACATGGCTGCAGGAAACTTACTTTTCATGCAGGTGAAGATATAGAAACAAATCATGGAATTTAAACAGAGATAATGCCTAAAGGAAAGTGCTCATGAGAGGCAGCAGCAATAAAAATAAACCTACAATAAACCTGAAAAGGGCAGATTTTTTTTTTAATGTGGCTTTTCAGGAGTATACAGCCGCTGTTAAGGGAGACATTTATAAAAAAAAAGTTTTCAAATTCAAAGTACAGCCGTCCTTAAACAAGGCTTTGTTAGCTGATGTAGTGCTAAAATAAAATCTGCATTTTATTTTTTACGTTTTATTTTTTTATTTGCATGACTCACTTTACAATATGCAATATAACGAAGGTTATATTTTCCTCATATTATGCAATATAATAAACTATAAATTGCAGGTCTTCCTTTTTATTCTTTTGGCAACAATATAAGAGAGCAGCAGCCTCAGTAAGTTTAACGGTCTAAAATGCAGCACAGGAAATAAAAGCAGCACAACTTTTGGCTGAGACGGGATGCTGTGCAGTGAACATTGAAAAGAATAATGACTGAATAATGACCGACCTTCACATCGGGGTAATTTTAGTTGAATTAGACCAAATAAAAACAGAAAGAGTTTCAAAAAACTTGAGTTTATTCTTCTTTAAAAGCTGAACCAATCTGCCCAACAATAATCTAAGGTTATAGTTTATCACGTCTATTTGGCTCTACACCAAAATAATTATGAATCTAGAAGTCACTTTAACTTCTAACCTATTTTGTCAAAACTAAGGCTTAAAATAATTGGATTAATCGTTATTAATCGATTATTGAAATGATCGTCAACTAAATTAGCAATCGATTCATTGTTAACTGAGGAATGGAGGTTCTAAAACGCCTTCTTTAGGTCACAGAGCGACCCACTTAGAGCAGTAATTATACTAAAATGTAAAAAAAATAAAAAAATTACATATACATACATACACATATATATATATATATATATATATATATATATAAATACACTGGAAAAAGTTTAAATCTAGATAAGTCATTTTTTTCTTAAAATAAGTGTATTTGTTCTTGGATTAAGGAGGTAAACGAGACATTTTGCCAATGGAACAAGATAATTTATACTTAAAATAGGAAAACACAATTGCATTGTCTTATTTCAAGTGCACATTATCTAATTATCATATTTTAAGAGTAAAAATACTAATTCCATTGGCAAACTATCTCATTTACCTACT